CGTGAGCCTGGTAATTAGCAGTACGGTAGCAGCCTTAACCTGCTATTTTTGAAAGTCGCTGCTGGTCAGTCACAGTGTCTTGCAGTATTTTTTTGGTCCTCTCGTCTTTTTGGTGCCGCACGCAGCCCTTTGTCGGCTAAAATGGAAAAAGTGGGCTGGCTAGCTGTAGATGGTGGATAGGAGCGACGGGGGGTAGCCTTGGTGCGCAAGAATCCCGATAAATCACTGGAGCACCCCCGTAGCGGGCGAGGAGGAGGAAGAGGAGCAAGAGCAAGAAGAAAACGGGATGATCCTCATCGATTTGCAAGAGCCAATTCCCCCCTACTGTCCGCCGTTCCATTACAGGGCATCTGACGTTTTGAGGAGCGTTATGGAAATCGGTTTTATAGCCAGTTTTGTGGCTCTAAAGAGGTGGTGTTGGTGGGATACCTCGATGGAGCTCGAGCAGCGCAAGCACAAATCAAGCATAAACACAAGGAGCTAAGCCTAAGTAAGCTAAGACTAAGCCTAAGCCGCCCAGCCTTTTCTGAACTATACTTTTTGCTCTATTTTTGTCAAAGCTACGTAATATAACGTAATTACAATAATTCCCTCCTTATCTCGTCGACCTAACAGCTGGAGATGCCCTTGATCCGATCTTTACTACTGCCTCCCCAGGACACTAGCTATTATTTGGGGGTGCTAAGGACAATTTCCCCCGAGGGCAATGGGGGTATTGCGGGAGCGCGCGTGGCTATGCGATAAATCGTTATCACGAATTCCCGTGGAACACCCTCCGAATTTGACAAATTGGTGGTGGCGGAATGGTGCCGCGGGAATTTGCTACTAGCCGGTTGGGAGGATTTTTCCTAAATGGTCCTTGCTAGCTTGCCCTAAATTTGAGAGGCGGACTTTTTTTACAAAAAACCCTGCTAGCTTGCACTGATTCCATTGTTTTTAATTTGCCGCAAAGAACTTCTGCCGACTTGCCCAAATTTCGAGAATTTAAGAATTTTGCAAAATCGTAATCTCTTCCATAAGATACTCTGCTGGTCCCTCTTTCTCTTTCCATCTCGCTCTCTATCTCTCTTCCGCTCTCCCTCTCTCTCTCACTCGCGCACTCTCTCTCACTCTCGCACTTCGTTCTCTCAAATTCTTGGCTTTTACGGATAGTTCCTTTTTTATTATATGATTTAAACCGAAAAACTTTTCATCAATTCTTAAAAACGCAACGTTCTGGATCTTCCTGATTCCGGAATTCCCAGACCATTCACCATCCAACCGGATGCCGACCGCTAGAACCAAAAACCGGACGTGTTCATAATTTCCCCTCACTTCTAACCGTCCCATGGCCCCAGGGGAAAGCTCCGAAGAACACCTATTGACGCCCACGGGGGTCGACGACCCATTACGATAAGTCTGTCAGTGAGTCGAGACCGGACAATTGGCCTCTCTCCACACACAACAAGGAACACCTCATGCTCCTTGATATTCCATGCTCCTTGACTTCTCATTCGCACTCATATCAATGACCGTGTCGTTATTTTAAAGTTATGATGGAAGGGTAGGAGGGGAGTGTCTATCTTTCTTGTTTTCCCTTGTGTCTCACTGAACTTCTCTCTCGCTCTCTCTCTCTCTCTCTGTCAATCTCCCTTTCTCGTCTTCTCTTTCTCTTTCTCTATAAATCTGTTCACGGTATTCATCTGAAATCCCCTCAAACCCTCTGAAATTCGATATGCGCGAGTGAAACTTTTTGTTCGCGGGGTTTCGGCGGAATTCGCGTAGAGAGTAGGTTTGTTTGCATTTCAATTCTGGCTGGGTCAGGGGTGCCCGATACCATTTGGGGGCGGGGGGGGACGGATAAATACTCGAGACGGTCCCACTGGGTCCGCACGGGGGTACATTCATTGACTCTTGAGGGAATGATGCTACCTTCGATTTCATCAAGAATCTCTGCTAGCTTGCCTTTGGCTAAAAAAGCCTGCTGGTCCCCTCGCTCTTAGGAATCCTCAATGTACTTCTGTTAGTCTGCCCTTCGATTTCCTAAAGAATCTAATTTTTAATCTAATTTACCTCCTCCAATTCCTGAAAGGATCTCTGCTAGCTTGCCAATTGCCATTTCCTACCACCTCCCTCTAATTATTTTCCTCCTACCGATCCGCCGTCAGAACCACCTGCAGGGATTGGGTAATCGCTGTGATTGACTCTTGTGTGTGTACCCTGGGGATACGTGGAAAGAGAGAGCGAGAGAGAGAGAGAGAGAGAGAGAGAGAGAGAGAGAGAGGGAGAGAGAGGGAGAGCGGCTGATGCTAAAGTATTCATGGAATACACACACCGACCCATGTCCACCACCACCGCCACCCGCACAACCCGACAATCTCGAACTCGAATCCTAGGATTTTAAAGCCCGGAGTTTTGGGGGTTTCATCATTAAATGCGCGTTTGAAAGTGCCAAATTAAAAATACGGACTACAGTATTAATAATATGGCAAAAACCGCGACAGGAAAATCCAGTTTTTGGTAGTTTTTGGAACTCTAACGTGCACTATTTTCATTTTCAAACCAAAGTATCGAAAATGACCGAACAAACTTAACGAAAAAATAAATTGATGATTTATCATTTTAAATATCGTTTCAAAAGATATATTTTGGAAATTTTTACATTATCAAGCTCCCCATTTACAGCTTTCCAAATATATCCAGCTTTCGCTCATCTGAATTCAAAAAACTTGCTAGCCTCACTGGCCCGGACTGCATAATAAAGACCGTTCCCTGCCCCTGTCCTGGCTGAACGACAGTGCCTTTTAACATTCAGCACCACCAACTTGATGTCAGTTGTCGAATATGTGTAGTAGGCTGACAGCTACTCACAATTCTGGCTTATCACACCTCATGTTTGCCGCCATTTTTTTGCAAAGCTTGGGCGTGGAATTTGATCACTCTCCCCCGAGGGAGTCAAGCCATTTATGACCCCCGGTTCCCGCTAGATGCGTGGCTATTGATTTTGGGATCGGATTTCGTGTTTTTCAAATTTTTTGGTCAAAATTTGAGTAGTAAATTAATATCCAGAGTTTTTAACGTAAGTTTAATGACAATTTGCTATGCTTAAAGCTCTAAAACTGTCAAGAAAGCTAAAAATTGCGAATTCATTTTAAAACCTTTTTAAAAATTTGCCATTCTGTATCCGCAATTTCGATACTTGCGTTTTTAGTTGGTAAAAGATGGTTAAATCCCATATTTTTAATATTACATTTGATCGAGTAACACTCACCTAGCTGCAAAGATCGCCAACCCGTTGACCCCGTGCCTTCAATGGTCCTTTAATGACGGACGGTAAATACTTGCTGTGCCGATTTTCGCTGTGCCGATTTACAGTATGCCGATTATTGGTATGCCGAATTTTCGCTATGCCGAATTTCACTATGCCGAATTTTCACTATGCCGAATTTTCACTATGCCGAATTTTCGCTATGCCGAATTTCGCTATACCGAATTTTCACTATACCGAATTTCGCTATGCCGAATTTTTTCTACTCTACTACTAATAGTCTCTACTAATATTAATAACTAAGCTCAGCTGGGACTTTGTGGTGCAACAAAAAATCTGCTGCGCCTACGGGACCTACGATCTGCCCGAGTTTCTGGAAATTTCTAGGCCAACTCTAACTTTCTAGGCCCATGATATTTGGAAAAAGAGTAAAAAAAAATGGGGAACATACCGCTTATCAAAATTGGTATGGCGAAGATTCGGCATGGTGAAAATTCGGTATCGTGAAAATCGGCATGGTGAAAATTCGGCATACCAAAAATTCGGCATAGCGGAATTCGGTATAGTGAAAATTCGGTATAGTGAAAATTCGGTATAGCGAAAATTCGGCATAGCGGAAATCGGCACAGCGTCAATCGGCATAACAAAATTCGGCATAGCGAATGGAACTCATGACGGACTACGGTATCCGGGACAATACCCAAAATATCGGAGGTCGTAAACAGTCGATTCTCGGGATAATAGCATCTGACAATATAAATTTACGAGTCGATTATTGCGGCTGCCAGTGGGTGGGTGGTGAGGATTTATGGCCCCAGGCAACTTGACCCTTACAGTGGTACCTGGGTATATCGAGTTCTTGGTCTTTAAAGGGATTCACCATCCAGAAATTTTGATTTATGAAGAATTTTAAGTCTAAAGCCTAAATTACCTAAAAATTTTGATGAGCCTATTAGTGCGGGGTCTCTTCAAACTACCCTTTTTGGACAGATGCCAATTGTGGGTCCCAAGGGCCCTAAGGGTCTGTGTGGCCGTCTGTTGTTTATCTTGGGTGGTACGGGCGATTTTGGTGGCGGGTTGATCTCAAACTGTTGCTCGAAGAATCCTCGTTTTTACGGAATCTCGCTCTATTCTATGTATATCTTATTAATGCAGAAACCAAGACAATAATTTGTACTTTTACCCGGAATTTAGCGCTACCGCCCACCCCTACAAGCCCCGCCCCTTTTTGGCCACCCTCGCTCAAAGATGGGGGTGGAGCTACCCCATGAATGTCCATGCTCTCGGGCTATTTGGGGAACGAATTGGCTATGGATTTACTCCTTGCTTTTGCTCCTTTTAAAGGTAGCTTCGCCAGCTTCCGCTCAAACTCTATCCAAACTAAATCCGAAAATCTGCTCAAAGCTGGTATTTGCAACTTGTTCATTTTAACTTGGCACTTTTATACCTTTTTTTACTTTCATACCCAGCTATTATACCTTAGATCAGTTTGCAATTTTTTTCTATGTTCGTTCGATAGCTTTAAGGGAGCTGTGCAGCCAGAATACTGATGTTTTTTGTGGAATTTTTTGATATACTGTGTTTTAGCTGTTTTCGAGAACACAGAAATTTCAGTTTTGGCTGGCCACGTCCGGTTAAGCTATATATACCTAACCAGCGACATCACTTTTTTGTGTGTACGCCCCCGATTATCCTCACCCCTCCCATCCATCATCCATCATCCAACGATTCCGTGTCTTTACACATATCCAACATGTCGGCTCGGGAGGTGAGCGGGCAGTTGCCAAACAAATTATCCTCACTATGAGCTGTTTTTACGCTGGCGACGGTTTGAACTAGACGTCGAAGTATACCTGTATTTTTAACAAGCTCACGGCTTGGCTAAATTTTTATTTTTCGAATCTCATGAAATTTTTAAAATTTTGGCACAATTTGTTAATGTCATCGGATAAGACCGTAAAATTTCTAATGGCAAAATTTCTATTTTCCACTGAAACGTGTACTAAATTATTAAATAAGCCTGTTCCTGTCCTACCTGCCTTTTTTCTGTATATCCACCTATGGGCACCCGGTGGTTCGGATGCGGGGCCAGATGTCCTTCTTCTTCTCCTCCTTGGCCCCCGGACCGTTGACAGATTAGCCCCCCCCTTCGTTGTGGAGGACCCCCGTTGTCTCCTTTTTTGGGCAAACAGATCCATGACTCCAGTTGCCAACCTCTAGCTGGCCTTCCATCGATAGTTCCTATTACCCTATTGTCTGGAGAATGATCTAGCAAGTATCAAAGCTGCCGGCTTCAAATCGGCCTCGCTTGGTCGTACTAGGTCGTACATCTTCGTCAATGTATCTCTGGAATCTGACTAGTTATTGATCTAAAATCTTTTGCACTGTTAGAGGATAGCATGTGCCATATTTCTAGAAATTTTGGTAGAGAAATATTGTAAAATAAGAAATTTATAGCAGAGAAAGTATTTTTGAAAATTTCTTAAATGTGGTTTTGACTTTTTCGCTATAACTTCTTTATTGTGCAAGATTTTGGGCTAAAATTTGGCGTGAATATATCGATTACATTCATTGATTTACTGTAAAAATCTTCTCGCAACAAAACTTCAGACAGAGGCGTCTGTAAGCATTTTTGAAAATCCGTATTCATGTTTTCCTTGAATTCGCTTTCCCTCCATTTTTATGGATTTTCGCGTTACTAGCTATATTAATATAACATTTGCAGAATGAAGCCACGACCTACCAGACGACTTCTTTTATTACTGACGTTCCTCAGCTTACTTGACCATCTCCTCGCTTGCCAGATCGGGTGTCGATGTCCGAACCGAGAAACGGCAGACTGTTCGGGGTAAGTTGGAGCCCTTAGCAAAGATATTTAAGGGATCTATAAATCATATTATGTCGATCAATTTCAGGTCAAGCTTCAAATCCGTTCCAATCCTTCTCGATCCAAGGACTACGCGCTTACTTTTGGATGGAAATCGCATTCAGAAAGTCTCTGCCGATGAGCTGGCGATATATCCCGGTAGGTCTTGGCTTAATAAGTCTTTCTCTATATTGTTGTTGCGTTATATTCCCTTCCTTCCACTCTTACGATCCTAAAGAAATCATTTCTTTGCCATTCTTCATTACTTTCTTATACTCCACTGACCATCCATTGTCACCATTCAGCGTCAAGACCGTTATCCTGGCCTGAATCTTGCTGTCTATCCCTGTCTCTCTCTTCTGCGCGCTCTCTCGCCCGCTCTGGTACCTGGTAATTATCTAGCTTCGAATTGCGTAACTCGGCATCTTCGACCCAGACATTGGAAATCTCATGTTCGGATCGAGCACCTGGACTGGATAGGTTCTCGTGTTCCTCTGGTCTGTAGCTCAAACCGTTCGGGGCTTCGTTCTCAATTTCTCTAGTAGATACGAGAATTAAATTTAGTGCAGTTGTAGATTAAGGTGAGGGACATCTCCTGGCAAATTTCGGGAGCACGATCTCTTAGCTGAGACGAGCATCAGGTGCCGATAGGTTTTTTAGACACGTCTTCTAGGGTGACCCTTAAAATCACGACGAGTCTACCAGTTAAACAGGATTTTAATAAATTAGGATCCGAGCAACTGCCTATCTCGGTGTAATTCCGGAGTCTCTTTCTCTTTCCGGAGCCCATCCTAAAATCATCGCCCCCGGTAAGGCCATCTCCCTCGCAAGATGGGTATCTCGGCAGCGGCTCATACATTTTGAGGGCTAGTCGAAGAAGGGGGCTAATCTACCCGGGGGCTACGGGTCAATCCTCCACCTCCAAGGTCCCCCTGCCTATAGGCTGCCCCATCTGATTAGCCCCTATAAAATATTTAGCACCCCGGGTAGGGTGGGGGACGGTGCGCCAAGTGACTTTGGGGGGAAATAGGGATGAGGCTCCTCATGGGGGATTTTAGCTGTTTCGGAGGATTCCTACCAGATTGTCTTGACTTGAGGACTGAATTTGAGAATCCTCAAGAAGCTTTGCTAGCCTGCCTTGGATTGAGGGTCAAATCGGAGAATCCGTAAACTGCTGCTAGCTCGCTTTCCCTTGAGGGTTGAATCCGAGAATCCTCAAGAATCCCTGCTAGCTCATCTGCCCTTAACAGCCAAATTGAAAAATCCTCAAGAACCTCTGCCCGCTTGCCTGCGGCATCCGCTCAAATTTAAGAACCTGAAAAATCTCTGCTAGCTTGCGACGGATCCACGTTTGCATCCGGGAATCCTCATAGACCTGTGTTAGTTTACGCTAAATTCCCCGCTGAATCCGGGATTCCCTAAGAATCTCTGCTAGCTTGACCGGAATTTCTGGCAGGCTACGTCGATCCTCAAAAATCTCGGCTAGCCACCCCGGCTATAATAATCCTCTCGAATCTAGTCCTTTCGACTACTCTTGGCTCTTTTCCAGCCATTCCCGAGCGGGGGCCCATTCTTCGGCGAAATCGGTCGGAAGTGCGCCCTAATGCGGCCATCATTGCCCGTCGGAGTGGCTTCTAGCATGCCAAAATATATGGCAAGGACAAGGGGAGCTAGGCGGTACTTTAAGACTATTTTTAGATGCTGGGAACGCTTGAAAATTTGATTTTGTACTCTGTTCAAATCCTGCGATAAATTCAAGACGTTCCTACCACCCTAGAGATCCAGTTTTCCTCAAAACGCCGATCCCATCCCTCCCACCCTTCTCAATTTACGCGTCGAACCCCCTTCCACAAAAATTGCGCTAATTGACGGGCCCCCATTGGGGTCCCGCAGCGCGCTACGGACGACCCGCCGGCCGGTCCAATTTCGCGACAGGGTGCGAATTTAGGGAGGCGCGTGTGCCTGCTGTGCCCCAGGCGGGCTGGATAAAAGAGAGGAATATTGGGGGATGGCATGATGGGCCTTCTGACGCAACCCTTTCCATCAAAACGGTGGGCAGGAAGACGGATGGACTGTTGCATTCATGCGCCTCCTCATTATGGTAGAACATCTGCGCGCCGCGGTTTTGACCTTTCCGGGTTGGGACCAGAGGTAGTGATGGGAATGTGAATGACTGTTAATCGATGCAAAAAATACAAGACTTAAAGCTAATGGCCTAAAAACTCGGTCAGCGACCGCAAGCCTCAAAAATTGCTGTTTCAGTTCCTCCCGGGATTAAGTTTGAATTTAAGGTATCCGGGCGGTACAGCAAAATTCAGCTAGCTTATGGCCCTAAAACCAAGGTTTACTTGCTCAAAAATGCTTTCATAGTGCGTCTAACGTAACCCTGGTCCTAGCCTAAAGCTGATCAGAACCACCACATAGTTGATTCCAGCTTGAGCAGCGCTTCAATGATGGATCTTGAGCCGAAGCCGAATTTGTTAAGCCTGAAGCTCAAAGCGCGTTCAAAAATAATTTTTTCACCCGACAAGGCGTCACTTTTGCTTTAAACTCTGGCGCTACGCTCATACCTCTTCCGAATGCCGTTCCTCCAAACCCCAAGCCCAAACCGAACGGCTCCCACTGCAAAAGCGTGTCCTGATTCGTCTTGGGGACACCCGCCCCATGGCGCCTTGGGGAATAATTTATTTTGTTTGGGCCCTCAGGCAAAAAGTGGGCCATTGTGGGCCCGGCCAGCCGCCATCTCTCAACTGGCGTCACAGCGTCCAGCTTGAGTTTTTTACGGACAGAGGGTACATGAAAACTAGCATTGTAAAAAAACACAAATATCCATTTTATGAAAGGCTGGCGTTAGTTTTTATAATAGAAAACTCAATCCTGGTTTTTTTATTGAGCAAAAATTACGATGCAAATAAGACGAGGTATCATCGTATTAACAGTAGCAACCGCGAAAAACCACTACTAGCTTCGAAATTGGATTCTATTGCCTTTGCGTTGCTTTTCAAACCGCCAATGACGATCTAGAGTGTCCTATAGTCACTTAAAGTACACCCTCGGTATGAACCTGCCGAAAGGGCAGCTCCCATCAGCCTGCTGGCTATTCATTGTGCCCAGGATGGGCCCCTAATATGCGGTACTTGAGCTGGCCCTTGGCCCTCGTGGAACGGTCGACCAAAGGGGGAAGCCGCTAATGCTCATCAGGAAGGAGGAGGAGGGAGGATTAGCAGCGACTGTCCATGCTCACAATAACAATGGGTTTATCGAGCTGGCTCCTGGTTTTTCGAGAAGCTAGGGGATACCTTACTATTAAATCGGGCATCGCACACACACGCTTAAGCCAAAGTCAACGCCTAAGCTTAAGCCTACGCATTAGCCTAAGCCTTAGCCTAAGCTCAAAACGAAGCCTAAGCTTCAACCTAGCCTAAGCCTAAGCCCATTAATAAGCATAAGCCCAAGCGTCAGCCTAAGCCTAAGCCTAAACCTAAACCCAAAGCCTAAGCCTGATAAGTCTAAGGTTAAGCCTGACCTAAACAGAAGTCTAAGCCCAAGCCCACCCCTACCCACTTATCCAATCGCCAGCCAAATTCCCGTGTCATAGCCCGGCTGAGATGGGTAATTCCGGGGGAATTCGGGGGCTATGGGAAGATGAGGTCCATGCTTAGGTGGGTGTCCCTTGAGGACCGAATCGCCCTACTCATCCACCTAATGGCCCTAATCGAGACCCATGAGGGTGAGGTGTCCCCAAGGCTCCTCCTCAGAGCACGACGATACCAATCCAGCCCCCCCATCATCTTCCCCCCATTCCCCAATTCCCATGGCGGGCCCTGGGACCTGGGCGTCGAGTGGGACTTATTGCCCGGGTGGCATGTTGGGGATGTTGGGGAATCTATTACGTGCATCTCTATCGCTAGCCGAGTAGATACGGAGCAGATTAGAAAACCTATTACCAAAATTAGAAACACGGAAGATAAGTGGTCATCTTTGCTTTTTCAGGCCTCCGCGAGCTGTCTCTGCGCAACAACTCGATCGTCCACATCTCCAATGAGGTCTTCACGTCGTTGCGCTCGCTCGAACGGCTTGATCTCTCGCAAAACCGTATCCTTACGCTGCCACCGAAGGTGTTTGCAAGTCTCGGGAAGCTGAAGGTAATTTTTGTACCTTACTGAATTCGAATTCCGTTCATTTTGTAGCTCAGAATCTCTAAAATCTTTATGCTTATCGAAAATCTTTTAATTTCTTTATCTAAAAATTCCACAGCAGCCATCTAGATTTCAAAAACTACTTACTCTACTAGGTGCTAGGTACTCGGTACTTAAAACGCGCGTACGGAGTAGGCAAAAAAATCTAGCGCCGAGAAAAAGAGAAAATTTCTTTTGAGAAAAATGAACCTAATCCACTAAATCCTATGTCCGATTGCAGTCACCAGAAACTAGGCTATTTTTCCCATCGTCAACGACCTGGTCAACATTTAGATTCCCGAGCAGATAGGCACCCGCGCCCAGATCCACATTTGCATACCGAAATTGGGGAGATGGGCCCCCTATTTTCTGGACAGGGCCATGACAGCTGATTTGGGCATCGCCACCACCGGGCAATTAGTCTCCCGCACACACCGTGTAGAGGGAAGGGCCCTGTCAATTGGACTAACCCTGGGATATAATAGGATCTGCTGGAATAGGCTACTGTCTTCCACATCTGCTCATCGGTGTAAAGTGGAACTTGCTGGGATCCTAATAAAACCAAGACTAGCTATAAAAAAGTGCGAATCTTTTGGACCTCGCGGAGTAGTCTAGCAGTGATTCTTTGAGAATTCCTCCAGATACCGAATGTGAGACTAGCCGCGATTCTTCATGAATTCATTTTGCGACAGCAAGGTAATCTAGCAGAGATTCTTTGAAATTTTTAGCATAAAATCCGACTCAAAATGAGGATTCTGAGGAATTCCTGGTGCTACCTAAAAAGGCAAGCCAGCAAGATATTTTGAGAATTTCCTACCATTTTTGCATAGCAAAATGCACTGAGAATCTTATTTAAATCCCAAACTTCCTCAAAGATCACTGCTAGTCTTCCGTTGGCCAATGCTTTAACACTGAAAGTTCCCCAAAAATTTCGACTCTTTTCGGCATTTTTTCGGGATTTTTCAACAGCAGTCGATAGAGCATCGAATTCCACAAGCATCTCTGTTAGCTTGCCCCGATTTCTCTTCCCAAGCGCCTACAGAAATGCCTCTGGCAAATAATGGAAAATTTGCATAAACCCCACAAACAATTTGCATATGATTCGATAGCTCGGCCGTGTGCACTCCTGGAAAACATGGCTAATCCGCACTTGGGCTTTTCGGACGGCAGTGGGATGCAAATTATCGGGGGGACAATGGTGGTGGTGGAGGGCCCTAAATAAGGGCCACCAATTGAATCACCCATTCCATGCCGTAATCGGTCATCGTGGAGGGGGCAGCTGCCTGTTGACAGCCCCTAGAAGGGGGTGGCCCTCGTAAATCTTACTTTCCCATATTCAGGGCTGGTTGGGCTTATCCAAGAGCTCTTGAAAGAAGGGATGTAAATCAGGGATTGTCATGGAATTGGAGTTAGATTTATTAACGGGATTGGGAAGGGGGAAATCGAAATATTTACGTGTTAAAATCTTTAAAAATTCGAATTTTTAAAACCTCGTGCACCAATTTTTTGGATTATCATGTCTAGAACAATTTATATAATTTTTACAGTTGTTTAAAATGTAATAAAACGGCTGAAGTGGATCGTACAGGCGAAAATGTTGAATTAAAGAATTTAGGGAACTGTTAGGAATTTTTAAAATATCCCTTTATCTTTTCAAAAATAGTATGATAAAGCATTCTTTTATTTAATTAACTATAATGGTAATTTCTAGATCTAGGTCTATATCCACTTTTCCAGTCCCTCGATCTGAGCGGAAACGGTGTCCAACTGTCCGGGGACACGCTGCACGGTCTGCACTCGCTGGAGGAGTTGCGCATCTCCAGAAATGGACTCTCCTATTTGCCGCCCTCAGTTTTTAGGTAAGTATCATCTATTCAGATTTATATACCTCTTAAGGCACTCCACCGAACTATCCACCCTTCACCTGGACCACAACCGACTTGTCGATCTGCCGGGCAGCATTCTGAGCACGTTGCCAAAGCTGAAGCAGTTGAACGCGCGATCGAATCTGTTGGCCAACGTGAGTTTACTAACGACGAAGCTACTGCGAATTATAACTATAACCTACAATCCGGTTTTCAGATCGAAACTGGTAGCTTTGCGGAGAATGGGCTGCTCGAAGCGCTCGATCTATCCGAGAATATGATCGTCAACATCGATGATGCAGCCTTTAACGGGCTACAGAATCTGAGGAAGCTGAATTTGACGAACAATCAGGTATAAATAATCGAAATGCATGGTTTCTACCTTAAAATACCTTCAAAAGTTCCAGACAAAAAATTCCGCTCCTTCAAAAAATTTTTACAGCTCGTCCGACTCCCTGGTAAAACATGGCAACTGCCCTCGTTGGAGACGCTCGACCTCAGCGGCAACCTCTTTGTTGCGCTGGAAACGGCTTCATTTGAAGGCCTACCCTCGCTGCGTGCCCTGAACCTGTCCAACTCGCGGAACCTCAACACCATCCATGTATGTTAATTCACTCCTTGTCCAAATATAAGCATAAGCCTAAGCCTAATCCTAAGCCAACAACATGCTCAGGACAATAAGCTATGAATTCGGGGCCAAGGGGACACCCCCCTTGGCCCTGGGGGGTGATTTATGGGTGGTGGTAGTGGATGAGGGTCGAAGAGGGCCCGTATGCAAATGAGCATGGGCGACATTTCAATGATAGACGAGCTTTTCATTGGTCCCACCAATGCTAGGGTGAAAGCAGGGGATTGAGCGGGAACTAGGGTTCGGGGAGGAATTCGTAGAAATTGGAAGTGCAGCTCAAATTCCACGCAATATTTTAGATGGGCGCTTTCCTGTCTTTGGACGGTCTACGCTGGATATCGCTGGCTGGTTCTCAGCTATCGTCGATCTCCAATACGGCATTCAGCCCAGTACCTCCGTTGAGTCATCTTGACCTCTCGGATAATCAGGTAAGCATAAGCTTTCATTTTTATCTCGATCTGAACATCGACTTTGACCGTACGATTTGGACATACCTTCAAAATCAATGCCAAGAACGCTACCACCCCTGAACCATTTCCTACTTTTACAGCTCGTTTCCCTCCCCTCAACTGCCGTCCACTGGTCCCGAATCCGGGATCTCCGCCTCTACGGAAACCCCTGGGAGTGCGACTGTGCCCTACGACAACTTGAGCTGAAGAATACAGGCGCGGTAGGTCTTTCTATTCCATGGAATTTCTCTTACTAGGGAAAAAAGACTACGCTCCGAACCAAATTTCGGAACGAAAGTAGCTTATTTTGTAGAAGTCGACGAGCGACGAGGGGAATTGATTGATATAAGTTACAAACCTAGCTCATTCGAAAGCGCTCGAACAACTCAGCAAGATGCAAAACGAAAAAAACTTCCATTTTTGCAAAACCATAGCGTTTGATTTTTCATCGTTAAATTCAAGAATTAGCAGAAATTGGCATGATTTCCTTTGCGCCGAGCGATTTCCTTCCAAAACGGTCGCTTGATCCGTTCTGCAAGCGCTTTCGAATGAGCTAGGTTTTGTACAAAAACTCCATTTGCACCTAAAAACGTCTCGTTTAGAGCTCTGAATAACACCGCAAAGTTACATCCCTGAAAATCAATTAAAAATAAGAAGTTTTGTCGATCGATTCGTCTCGACGAGACCTACAAATAAATCCTAGAATCAGCAATTCCTAAATTCACTGACGACTTAAAGATTAGGTCTAAAATGACAACGAATAAGGTCCTAATTTCATACCCCATTCTGAACGCCAACTTCTAGGTGTGCACCAGCCCCGAGTCGAACACCGGACTCCGCGTCGACAGCCTATCAACCTGCTCCCCATTCCGGGGCCTCGTCGTTCCCCTCATCCTCGGTCTCGTCATACTCGTTCTCGCGGTCATGTCCTTGGCCCTGGCCATCCACCGCCGGGTCCCCAGCAAAAGAACGACTTCTTCACTGCTTGTTTCCTCCCATGACGCGGCCTACGCATTCGATCGCCCGTTCATCTCCCCACCATCTACCGGCTCCCCGCATTCACCGCAGTCGCAGGTGCGAAACGAATACCTATCAGAAACTCGAATTTTCATAAGCTCGGATTTTCAAAATCTCGAATTTTCAGAATCTCGAATTTTCAGAATCTCGATGCCTATGCTGGATCCAGGGCGTAGGCGTGCAATTTCCGGAGCCTTTAATGCTGACTTAAACCATGGAAATTTCGAGATTCTAAAAATTCGTGATTCTGAAAATTCGAGATTCTAAAAATTCGAGATTATGAAAATTCGAGATTATGAAATTTCGAGATTTGGAAAATTCAAAATTCTGATTTTCGAGGTTCTGATTTTAGAGATCTTGATTTTCGAGATTTTGACAGATTCCCGTGCGAAAACATCACACGTTTTTAAAACCCTTAATTTTCAGGAATCATACTACGAAGCGCCTACTGCGGCCGCTCATAGCCTTCCATATGCCCCGGCATACTACCGATCTCTATATGGACAATTGCCGAGCACGCATTACACGATGGGAAAAGGAATTCACAGCGCGAATAACACGTACCGACCGGTAGGTGTCTGTTTCACGTTAAAATCGCCAAAAAATTAATTATAGCATCGCTTTAGTAACGAGCAAAAACCATAAAATACTATAAACCACAAATACTAAAAGAATACCCCAAAAAAACGAGTCCATTTTGTCCCTGGAATATCTCTGATCACTTCTCTGATCTTCTTTTCATTTCTAAAAATTACTAAAGTAGAAAAATATATTTCTTTTCGAGCTTGGAGTTCCTTTGATACTCTCCTTTTCCCTGATAAAAGGTAGCGACGTGCCGGCATGCAGCTTTACAAAAAGCGCTAAGCGTTACGATAATCGAGATTTTAGCGGAATTCGACCGTCCAAAAACATTAAAAACCAATCTATAAAACCACAAACTACCCCATAAAACAGCTATATTTCCAGATGATGTCCAAAGCGCCACCAACCATGGCGCCGCCGCCGATCCCGCGCGTTATCCCCCCGCTCGGCCAGGGGCTGATGCGTCGCGACAGCGGCGAGTACGAAAACGAGCCAATGATCGACGACGCGCATCCGTACGATTCGAAAGTGGTACCCAGCACACGCTTGTAGATAAGGCTTGACGATAGCTAAACCTTTTCCTTTTCTATTTCTAGTCATTTACTCAATTAATTTCCCGATTTTATAGATTTCAAAAAATCAGCAAAAGCCTGAAGCTTTTAAAAAACCTAGTTTATCTTAGTTTAATCGAAAAAACCATGTCTATTTCATTGTACTTCCGGTGCTCCCTCAAGAACATTCCATTTTCTCTCCCTCCCCCCTCAAATTGGATGTCAGCAACACGACGGGCCGACCAAATGGGTATTTATCGTTTACATCGTCTAAATGTATGCCTAAAATGTATATGGCCTGCTTGCAAAGTGTGATATAATGTGCTACTCTTTCGCGCAACAATAAAAATGCCTAGAAAAGCCGCAACGTTGAATCAAAAAGATATTCACAGCAACATGTTTATTAAATTCACCAGAACAAGGATTAGTATCACTTTTTCGGAGACCCCAAATGTTACAGGAAGTGGTGAGAGAATAATTCTAGAACATTCGGGATAATGTTAAAAGTCACAGACCCGTAGAAACTAAACATACCCCGTCCCTTGTGATGGTCACAATACAAATTTCACAGGTAAAAATAAGAGAAAGACAATAGATTATGAGGTTAAAGCTAAGAATAGAGCTAGGTTATTAGAGGTTGTAGAACCATGCGGCGCCGTCGAGCCTGAGACGAGATGCCTGAAAAAAATGGATTAATAGACGATTTGATCCACTAAGCATTATAAACTCAAAAATATGTAAAACCCCACCTATCGCCTGGCAATGATGCGCTCCATTTGTTGCATCATGGGAGCTATCTTGCGACTGTATTCTTCAAACGCATCAGCCATCCCTGAAAAAAAGAGGATTACGGAGTATAGATCAAACCCTTTAAACGTCAGTCCGCTAATGTTCAAAATCTACCAACCTTTTTGTAAAGCAGCCATAGCTTCTTGTGCGCCTGAAAATAAAAGGAAAATTAGTCGGAAAGCTGCAGTAGCCGCAGTAGAATATAGAATAAAAGCGTTCCTGAAACTCACTTCGCTCTTTCTCCATCTTTTGGCGACGAGCCTGACGTTTATCCTCCTCAGCATCCAAAATTGCATTTTGCGCGAATCCTGAATTGACCATGAAAAAAAGGGAGCCTAATAATTCGAACCTCGTTTAAGCTTGAATTCCGGAAGGGGTCGCACGGTTTGCTGGAAGTCGCGTGGATCGATGCACAGCTGCGAATCTGAAATAAAACAGTCGGGTCATGCAATAACTTTTAGTTTACCTTTATCTGCATATTGATCCTCCCTGGGGCCACGCCAGTCGAACTCCGGCAGCTCGATATCGACGATCGGGCGAGGCTCCTGGGTCGCTAAAAAGAAATATCTGTCTGGGAAGCTTGAGGCGCCCGAAAACTGCATAAAACTGAGAAAAGTAATTTCTAAAAAAAATCTAGCTTTTAAAAATTAAAACGCACATCTTTTGGTCATGAACTGCGACGAAGTTTCAGCCGGTTCTTCGGTGGCCGACCCAGAGGACGGAGAATCGGCGACCAGGAGCGACCGATCCTTCGGTTCTCGTTTGGGACGTTTGCGTGCCTAAACCAAAATTTGATAACTCGAAGTTCAGCAATACCTTGTCAGCTTTTGGCGGGCGTCCTCGCTTCCGCGGCGCAGGCGTTGGGATAGGTACTAAACAAATATATATATAGTAAAAATTGGCATAACAATCAAATGATGCCAAAAATTTCTGTAATTCATACCAGGCACGATCACAGGCAGATCTACCGACTTCTGCGACGCAAAAATATCTTCGAAGGAGCCGTAGCTTGTGGCTGAAAAAGCGCATTAATAAAAAAATAAGTGAATACCTGGTGAGGTGGAGCGCGCCCGGTCGGGAGATGTGCTAGAGCTGGGTGCACTGATTTCTAAAAGAGTATATAGTTAATGTAAAAGATAGGAAACGAGAAACCTTGCTTAGGGGTCCCGAGGTCGACGTCGAGGTGCGGATCGCCCAGATTCGTTCTACCAGCGCCCAAAACGCTTCTGCGCGATGGTGAATGCGAACCATTATCTAGAAAACAGAAAGTTTGATGAAAACAAGAAATGATTACCAAGCTCCGGCTTCATTTCGGTTTTCATCGGCGTGGTTGAGCGGGGCGCGGTTTCGGGGATGCTCACGAACACTGAAAAACCAGAAATAAAGATCTGGTAAAAGGAGAATGTTATTTTTATACTTATAAACGAACATTTGGGTAGTTGAAAACGATTCCTGAGTATTTGCCATGGAATGAGACCCTTTTTATTATAGGCCCAGATTCGCCTTGTAATCAAAAATAAATTTTAACTATGCTTAAAGTCGAGAAACTAAAAAAGCTAGAAAAATGCTTGAAATGTTAAAATTTGGTCATTTAGGTCCGAAATGAAGTATTTCTTTCCCACTGCGAACCTTGGAAGCTCGTAAGCCGACGCAGTTTTCTTATATGTCGATGCTGGCCTAGTAATCGAATATAACATCATTCTATTTTATACCGCTTTTAAACATCTTCACTAAATTTAAAATAGAAAGACTAAAAAAGCTAGAAAGGCGTTTGAAAAAAAGTCAAAATTTTGGTCATTTTGGGTTGGGAAATGAAGCATTTTCTTTCCCCTTGCGAATCTACTCAAGGATCTTGGAAACTTGTAAAGCCGACGAACTAAAAAGAAACAGAAAAAACAGATACGAAACCTAAGCAAAGAAAATAAAGCAAAAGAAATACCGGGGTCTCTCAACTTTGGCGGTCGACCCCTGCGCGCGGGGATCTTGTTGCCCTTCTTGACGATTGAAGCCAGCAGGCGTTTTACTGAAAATTACTAGTTTGCTTTAGCGAACATCAGGAAGCATTTCACGAGAAAAACCACAAAAAAGAGGAGTCGTTAAATAAAAGGTATTGCCATAGTAAAAAGCTTTCAAAAGAAAAGGGTAAGCTCCAGATAGCTGCCAAAAGAAAATGATTGCGCAAGAAAATCGAAAATTCCGCTGCGAAATAAAGCGAAACGCACCTTTGAAGGCGTTCGGGTTGTACATCGGACGCTTGTGTAGTCGGATGTATTTTACAACTGAAACAAAATAATTGAAGAGTTATAAAAAAAATCAATATACCAGGTTTCAGGTCGTTTGTCGAGCTTTCGGCGTTCGCGTCCTCTTCCGGCTCTTCGGTATCTTCTAAAATGAGAAGAACTACTTTTGCGATAAAATGAATTTTATTTGGCGTCTCTTCCTTTTATCAAAACAATTAAATTAATAATAATTAATAAAATTACCTCGCACTTTCTTCGGTCTTCCGCGTTTTCCTGGGATGCGAACGACGGCGTGAGGCTTCGAAGGCATCGACTTTCTCTCTAAAATCACAAGAATCAGAAAAATTTATAATTCAATTAAATTGTAATTTAAAAACCATAAATTTTAGGCCAACTTACCAGTTTTCAAGAGTTCCTCATAATCGCGCAGCTTCGACGAAACGACACGTTTGCGCAGCATATCGTTTGTAGCGCCTAGAAAACCAACATTGAAAAATTAACTGGACACTTTTCAAAGCGCTACTAACAATACGTAAAGCTAATTAATGAAAATGCTTACCGTTCTTTTGCGGGCTCCTTCTTTGCGGGCTGTTGGGTTCCGAGGCCATTTTTGAGGTGCCTGAAACGTAATTCCTTATTTAGAGAAATAATATAGGTAATAAAAAGTAGAAAAATAAATAAATAAGTAGATAAAGTAAAGAAGTTAATAAAACTAATAAATTTTAAGACTGAAAATGATCGCGCATTTCGATATAGAATTTCAAATCGGCGGGGGCAGGTGCTCGATAAGGGGGGCGGTGTTCGCCCCTGGGTGACAAAATCGACTGCAAAAATCACGGCTCGTCAGGCCTTACCAAAAACGCACTTCTGGGGGGTGCGGGCCCTCTCCCCGGGGATAGTGGGTTAACCTCCCAGGCGAGCCCCCTACACCCCCCGGGTTCGGTTCCTCTGCGGCGCAAACTCCCCCATTTTGGTGATCTTTGTTTTGCTTTTTGCTCCAATATATCACCGAACGTCTACTGTAACACAAAATCAAATAATACTCGCGAAAAAGCCCCAGAAAATAGAAAAAAGCGGCCAGAACCCGGTTTAACAAAGTGAATCCAAAAACAGTCGCAATTTCGCTCCATAATCAGCTTTCAGGGTTGCTATTACAATTTTTTTGGTGTAGTAACGATAATAAGTACCCTCTGTGGGTTTATGTTAGCAAAAGTGGGCTACAGATCACGAAGCTCCTGCTCCAAGCGTCCAAGTGCCCGAGTATCTTAGCTATTTTCTTAATAGGAGGTTCATAATTCAGCAGTTTTTCGATTAATACTACATTAAATTGATATAGTTACCTAAAAAACCGCCATACAAGGCTTAAATCCTTCCGGCTGAGGTGCTAGCATCGAAACATTAGGATCGCCATCGGACAAGAGCTTATCTTTTCCAGAACTTCCCTTATTAATTCAAAAGCATGTATCGTGACTCCGCCCAACCTTTTCGCGAGATTTGATCGTATTTTGATAACAACAGGCTGAAAAACTAGCCATAAACCAGCTGGGTCGAAAATCTGGGGAACTTTAGGCTTCAAAATCTCCTTATTTTGGTGAAAACTCTCATTGCGACCCACACAGTTCGATAGAGAATTTTTTTCTCTACCAAGTTCCCACTCCTCCCGAAGATTCGAAATCATATACAAAAAGTTATTAGAAGAAAACCTAGATTTTCTGAGTTTTTAATATGGGAGGCGCCGCCCCTCAGAGCCCCGAGGGCAATAGGCGCGCCCCGTACTAAAGTGCCCTTTGACGAGCCGTGAAATATCGAAACTCATTAATGCGCGAGAATAGATAGCTATTTATATTTTTTACAAATTGGAAATTGATAAAAATAAATTACTAGAAAAAGGAAATAATTAAAATACTGTATATATTAAATTATAGACCAAAAAGCTCACCCGGCTCAACGTAATATCCGGTAACCTTGTTCCGCTTTCCCTTCAATTCCGAGACACCGTCCGGAAGGTCAATCTTGAAGCTTTTTCGGCCTCGTCCGTCTTTATTACGCTCTAAAAAGGATCAATTTTAATTGATGATAATTTTCGGGTAAATCCATTAGTAAAATAGTGGCTAGCGGGGTGCTTCCAGGTTATTGGGGGGCGGTTATTTTAGCGGGGGGCGGTTGCGCACTTTTTCTATAACCTTGTGCGGGTCGACTAATTAAAAGTTTACCGTTTTTATAGACTTCTACGCCGTTGCAAGCGGTTTTGGATTGTTAGCGTGGGTGGAAAAATTAAGAAAAACATCATTAAAGACGTAGAAAATTTTTGCTTTTTTTGGTCTACGTGTAAGAAAATGGTTAAAAAGAAGCCAAAACCCTAAATTTTGTGACTTTAGGATAAATGCTTTTATAATTTTTGGTTTTCGGGAACTACCAAAAACATTATTAAACTAAACTACAATTTATCCCTAGGCAAATATAGGCGAAACAAAGAAAAGTTTGCCACCGCCTCCCGCTAAAATAAACGGCCCCCGTTAACCTGGAAGCAACGCTAGCGGTTTAGGGTTTTTACTGGATTTCCTACGAAAAAAGGGTAATTTAAATCGAATAAAACAGAAATAAAAATAGAAATAGAAATAAGGGAGCAGAAAAATGAAAGTAGCAACGAGTGCAGCCTGCCAAGCGGCACAGCGGAGCGAGACGTAGTTTTTTCGTCTACGCTACACACCAATACACATCTCAAGCCAGAAGTGATCGGAACGTTTGTCACAATTAGTGATCGCTTTGATGTCGTGCGACAAGAGTGCCCTTTGAATGCGGTGCGTGCGTGTTGCGGGGGAAATAAGGAAAATAGGTAAGCTTTTAATTCCATTCAAATTAAATTCTAAAAAGTTTTTTTTTAAAGATTTAAATGCGAAGCGTGTGCGTTGCGGCAACGCGGGGAAGCAAGCAACACAAGCAAGAAAAAATAAGAGTTTCTAGACTCACTATTCAACAATGTTTTTGGGGGTGAATCCGGCTCGACCCCGGTAACGGCCAGCGATTTTACCGTGGTGCCTGGAAGGCCAATTTGTATTGAATTAATTTATAGGAATAAAATAATTTTACCAATAATTTCAATCTTAGCCAAATCCAGGTAGCTCTCACCAGGCTTGCTGTTCATATTAGCATCGTTCGAGCCAGGATCACCCGAGGAAGCATTCCGCTTCGGGCTTGCCGTCGAAACGGTTTCCATATTTTTTTGAAAGACTGGAAAGACGGAAATAAACAAAATTATCACATATAATAAAAGCTACGGTATGAAAATGGCAACCATAAATTAGGGAGACGATAAGCTGATTTTCCAGAATTTCATAATGTCTGCTTTTACGCTATTTGTTCAATAGAAAAGCTATGAAATTAGCGAGTCATAGTGCCTAGTAAATGTTAATAAAAACGCACTAGCGCTAGTAAAAAAATCTACATTACTTTTCTGTAAATTTCATGTAACTAAAAGCTTGCGTCTCTACAAAAATGCTTAAACTTAGAACTTCTGAAGTTGTGTAAGTGTAAAAAGAAATTTTTTTAGTAAATATTTTACTATCAAGTTACATTTTTTTCCAACAAGCTTTAGCAACTAAGATATCAATGAAACTCTGAAAAAAATTAAACAAAAAAACTCTAGCAGAGTTTTTCTCAGCGCGCCGAAATAATCAATATTAAAAGGCCAGATTTTTTCTTACTAGTCCCTTGTCTTTTTTGCTTAATGATATAAATTATATTCTAGAAAATTCCCGAGGTATGGGCAAAAATCGAGACTGGGCCTTTGGGTCGGGGCTCGACTAGGGGTAGCGCGCTCGCATCTGCGCTGCGGCATTCAAATTAGCGAGAGTCAAGGAAATTTCCTAAGGCCGAAAATATACAGATTCGGTAGATTTTAGCTGATTTTATGTATGTTAAAAGGTTTCGCGATTTTTAGAGACTAAATAAAAATTTTATCGAATTTTGAAACTCGGGGTCAGATGGGGAATAACTTTTTGCGTGAAAATTTGCGCTCATTTTAGGATTTCGGTGTGAAAAAATGCCCGAGCGTAGTTTTTAAGAATTATCGGAATTTTACTAGTAATATTTTAATTAAGTTGGTGTATAAAATTATTTTAGGGATTTTAATCGGGCGTTTTGCGTTGATTTTCACGGCCGAATTCGCTCTTGGGGTTTCTAATTTATTAATGCGCGCGAAAAGGTGCATATCCTTTTTAATAAAATTTAGGGGAGAAAATTAATTTGTATAGGTTTTGTGTGATTTGAGGGTGGGAGAATTCGGGCGGGGTGCGGGACCGGGGAGTGTGTAGAAAAAATAGGGCGAAAGGAGGAGAGGCGATCGATCCGAGAAATAGTGGGGAGAAGGCTGAGGGGGCAGAGCAGCCCGCATAATTTACCAATAATTTATGTCTAAAAATCGGCCTTTTCGGTGGTTATTAAAAGTGGAAATTGAAGAAAATATTGAGGAAAATTGGAGGGGTATCAGACTTTCTAAAAAAAGTGACGGAAAAAGCACAAATAACTCGAAAATCAGAGACTTTTTGTGTTTTTCCTTCTTTTTGTATATAAACTAGCATACAGCTAGTTTTTAAAATAGAAAACACTTAGCGTAATATTCAAAAAAATTTAAGCTTATACTCAATGTAAAAATTCGAAACGAAAATATTATCACAAAATTTTGTCGAGCCTTTTTTTTGAAAAACCTAAAAATTGGCAGGAAGCATTAAAAATTTCAATTTCTTATGAAAATCAGTAGGAATAAATCTCATTTATTATTACCAGCTTTTTGTCCTTCATTTAATTGTAGAAAAGTTGCAATGAAAATATCGGTATCGATTCAGGCGGCGCAAGCTTTTTGCGGGTGGGGAAGGCTAGCGGGAAGAGAAACAAAGTATGTTGAATTTTTAATTAAATAAGCGTATGCATTAAAAAACTCATAAATCCAATTATATTTAATGAAATAAATTATTAGGTTGGAACATAAGTTCGCGCAATCGAACTTTGGCAATTTCTTTCTGAAAATTTAGTGGCCAGATTCCGATGTTCCCTCTTTGCATTTATCTATTGGGTTCATGAGTATGTAGGACCAAAATTATAGGTTTTTAGCCCCAGTAGTTTGCAAGATTTTTGCGTTTCTCTCGGGGGCATTTCAGATTTTTGACCCGGACATCTTTCCGAACTACCATAAAGTCGCCATAGGAACTGATCATCACTATAATAATAAGTTATATCTATCAGCTGCATGCCGAATAAGCCTAAAAGGAAGCCAAAATTGTTTTGTCAAGGCGGGCCGAAGCGATTTTTCATTTTCGCTTAAATCTAGCTTTAAAAAATTCTAATAGGGAAGCAACGCGATTCCGTCCCACACATCGAATAGAGAATTTTATTTCCGTTCATCGAAAAAACATTTTGGTTCTTGACCGTTTTCCGGTCCGAAAATTACAAAGGAAGAAAAATATTGCGCGAACTTTAGTTCCAACCTAATATATACGATGTAGATTTTATTAACTACGGCAACAACACTCTTCCTCGCGTTGGTTTTTGCAAAAAATGGTGGTTTTTGTAATTTTCAAAGTCGTTTTAACAATAACCCTTTCGATCTTAAGTTAATTATCATAGAAAATATATTATTCAATTCATTTACGGTTTTAAAATATTACAACGACAATTTTAGTAATATTTCTATACACTTTCGATACCACGTTTTTGGCCCCATCGCCGATGGTGCAATTTACATAAATTTTTTGTGCTATTTAAAGGGCACGTTGAAATTTGTTTGACCACTCTGTAAATAAATCGAACATAAATTGGCATCGAGAACACTGGGAAATTAGGCATCAGCAACTTGGCAAATTGGCACAACTGCGTCGACCTCTGTAATAAACCTACCCTGCCCCCGCGGCCGATTATCATCGCGTAACCGGAGTACCAATGGCATCTGGCATCGTCAAAATGAAGGAAGGGGACGAACATTTTATTAATAATTCAAAGTGAATTGGTAATATCGGTGCCGGTACCTCAAAAAATTACCGCGGGGGTTGGATGGAACAGCAGTTCACGGCTCGTCAAAGGGCACTTTAGTACGGGGCGCGCCTATTGCCCTCGGGGCTCTGAGGGGCGGCGCCTCCCATATTAAAAACTCAGAAAATCTAGGTTTTCTTCTAATAACTTTTTGTATATGATTTCGAATCTTCGGGAGGAGTGGGAACTTGGTAGAGAAAAAAATTCTCTATCGAACTGTGTGGGTCGCAATGAGAGTTTTCACCAAAATAAGGAGATTTTGAAGCCTAAAGTTCCCCAAATTTTCGACCCAGCTGGTTTATGGCTAGTTTTTCAGCCTGTTGTTATCAAAATACGATCAAATCTCGCGAAAAGGTTGGGCGGAGTCACGATACATGCTTTTGAATTAATAAGGGAAGTTCTGGAAAAGATAAGCTCTTGTCCGATGGCGATCCTAATGTTTCGATGCTAGCACCTCAGCCGGAAGGATTTAAGCCTTGTATGGCGGTTTTCTAGGTAACTATATCAATTTAATGTAGTATTAATCGAAAAACTGCTGAATTATGAACCTCCTATTAAGAAAATAGCTAAGATACTCGGGCACTTGGACGCTTGGAGCAGGAGCTTCGTGATCTGTAGCCCACTTTTGCTAACATAAACCCACAGAGGGTACTTATTATCGTTACTACACCAAAAAAATTGTAATAGCAACCCTGAAAGCTGATTATGGAGCGAAATTGCGACTGTTTTTGGATTCACTTTGTTAAACCGGGTTCTGGCCGCTTTTTTCTATTTTCTGGGGCTTTTTCGCGAGTATTATTTGATTTTGTGTTACAGTAGACGTTCGGTGATATATTGGAGCAAAAAGCAAAACAAAGATCACCAAAATGGGGGAGTTTGCGCCGCAGAGGAACCGAACCCGGGGGGTGTAGGGGGCTCGCCTGGGAGGTTAACCCACTATCCCCGGGGAGAGGGCCCGCACCCCCCAGAAGTGCGTTTTTGGTAAGGCCTGACGAGCCGTGAGTTGCGTGCAAGTTGCATTGATATAACGACAAAACTGCGATATTTTTCCCGTCTCGCTTAGGCTTAGGCTTAGGTTTGGCTTATCTTGGGCACCAACACCGACATCTCGACAGCACCAACATCTCGACTTTCGGGAATTCAGAGACGTTGTTACACGGATACGCTTTCTAAATTTTCACATGGTGACCCGTTGTCACAATGCAAAATTTTAAATAGCTTTATACTGAACTAATAATGCTTATTCCTTTAATAAAGATGTAAAATACTATTTCCAAAAAGAGAGAGAGAGAGAGAGAGAGAGAGAGAGAGAGAGAGAGAGAGAGAGAGAGAGAGAGAGAGAGAGAGAGAGAGAGAGAGAGAGAGAGAGAGAGAGAGAGAGTTTCCTCCGTGTTAGCGATTGAACAATTTTTCAACGGGAGGTCATCGGAAATTTTTCCGAAGGAGCTGTACGCGGCTAAAAAAAACCTATATTTAAGCAATTTCGAATATCAACTGCAAATATTTCACACCGTTTTGATATGGTCTCACTTTAAATAAAATTATAAAGATTTAACAAGCTTGGTTTTTGGTCATAAATACATGATAAATGTTCTAAAAATACTTTTTAATGCAACCTTATAAACATTTATCTATCTGGATTACTTGGCAGGTATAGGCCATCCTAAAAAATACCTGGTTAGCTTTTTAACCCTTTGTTCCCGGATCTGGATTGAAAAGCTTCATGCCGATCTCTCTCTCTCGCTCTCTCTCGCTTTCTCTCTTTAGCTGAATTTGTAATCACGGATTCGAGCCAGACAGAATCATTCCTACTTCAATAACCAGGCGAAAGTTCCGGTTCCATACAGCGTACAAGTTGCATTTTTAACCCTACCAGATATTTTCGAACCCCAGTCGAGCCCATTTTAGCACGAGGTCCCAAAAATATCTTTTTCTTCTCGGGGCCTCCCTTGCGATCTGCTGAAGCGGAATCGAGCGTAGTTATTAGTCGCATGCCACGGGGCACGCACATTTTTTGTTCCCGCTTTCCAGTCGCTTCCTTCATTGCGTTTCTCGTTTTTGCCTCGCTGAATTTTTGCATCTTCAAGGTATTGGATAGGAATAGCTGTGTTTTTTGATTTATGAAGCATTCGTGAGAGATGTTCTACATGTACGAGTGTCTGTATGTGTCGGATGAAGTCCGGAAAAATTTTT